AATTTTTGTGGATTTCTTTTTTTTGAGTCCTGAAGTAATGAGATTTTATTTATTTATTTATTTTTAACTTTTCAGTAATCTTGATTGCCTTTCATCATTGGCAGTAAATCCAGGGTAGCAGTCTTCTCTCTCACATAATCTTGTCCAACTGTGTGTTCTTTTATTCATACAGCAGACAGAGCCAAGATAGTGGAAGAACACGGACCAAGCTAACTATGGAGGAGCTGAAAGCATTTGTCCAACAGTTATTCAGTTTGCCCTGTGTTATCAGCCAGGCCCGACAAGTAAAGGTAGGCTTGCATCTATTCCTTGGACATAGTGTGGTGGTGTTCTTCTGTTTGTTTTGTAGTTTTGTTTTAGCAGATAACATCACCTGGTGGCAATAGCTGAAAGACGTTTTTCTTTAAGAATCGGTCCAACGCTGGCAGAGTTGAAGTGAATGGAGCTGTTTCACTTCTAACTTCTATCATGAAGCAAGTAGCTGCTTTGCAACGATATCTGTGGCTGCAAGGAAAGAAATAAATTATTCTGGACAGCTTAGTGTCTCCCTGCTTTACTGAGTAATCTTATTGTTGTCATTCCAGTTTTGCTGATGACATGTTAGTGTCTGTCCATAAAGGAATGGTAACATAAATTTCCTGTGCATTTTCCTGCTCACTTACAAGTATGTTTCTAAACGGGCAAAGATGGTGTTTGTACTTTTATGCTAGTATAGCCATAGCAGCTCAATAAGTAGTGCTCAATTTGGTTGCGTAAGCATGGATATCTAATACCCTTTGAGATGCTCTAAAGTATTCCATGTGGAGTATTGCAAATGGCACTCAGCATTTGAGAAAGCATATGAAATTATACTCATGTAAAGGTGCCTGTCACAATGGGCATGGTCAAGTGTGCTGTAGCTAAACCAGATTAAGAGATCACCTCCACCTGCCACTGTCTAGGCTACCCAGGTTTTATCGTGGCGAACCAGTACTGTTACTGTTGTTACGGCATTGTTAAAGCCGCCTGTAGAAGTAAAATTCTCTGTTAAATCCTACTGTTTTTATGCTTCTCTTAAAAACTTCTGAAGGTTATATTAATGTGTTTTTTGGGAAGGGAGGAGGCAATACCGCATTAGTGGTTCTTCACTTGAATCTCTAAATACTTCTCAGCCTTTGTTTTCCATTTTACAGCCCCCTTAATCTGTATGCATGGCCTGTTTTTCTTGTTCCTTCGTATGTAATTTTGCGCCTGTCTTTGAATGAATCTATACTAATAAATGATCCAGATTATACTGATTCCCCTGACTGCTATTTTCATTTATCACTCTGGCAGTCTGTATTAAAGCAAGCGTTTTCAGCAGTGATCTTATTTGCTTCTGTCACTGATGAAATGTTAAATACTGTTTAGCCTACTAACTACTAACTTCTTGAAAACCCGTTCAAGAAACATCCTTAATGTTTTTTCACCTTGAGAAACGCTTACTAAGATGTATCTGTTAATCACTTATAACCCATGTTCTCTGCTAGTTCTAATAAGAATGTTGTACAGCCCTAATTGAACTCCTAAAATTCTAAACATATTACCATATGTGCAGTTACATTTATATAACCAAATATGTAGTTTAAAAACAGCAGAATTGATGTATTTGAGAAGGCTGTTTTCCATAAAACAATGTTTACAGGTGTTAGTTACATCCTTCTTCATCCATTAATTCTATATCAACTTTTCCATGGTAGTTTATTGTTGATATCAAGCAGAGACTTAATGCTGGGCTTTCTTCATGTCTTTATGGTATTGACATGTTGTTGCCGAAAATGGATATTTTCGGAAAACTCTCTAGGATTCCAGGGTGCAGATTAACCAAGCCTGCTGACTCTAATCTTTAGCCTTCAAAGATTTTCTTTAACGTATTCTCCAGCTGCTAATGGAGTGGAAAGTATATTATCATCCTCATATGATATGAAGATTTTACTGCACTTCTTTCCAGATACAAAATAGAAATATTTACTGAGCATTTTCTGCCTTATGAAATTTTATCATCTTTTATTAATAGCCCTGTAAAATTACTAGGATTTCTTTTTCTAATGCATTTAACACTTACTTCTAATGTCCTCAGCTCTGTCATCTATGGATTATGTCTTCATGTCTTTAGTTGTCTTCGCTAATTTTCTAACAGTTTGTTGGTTCTTGTTTAGCTATTTTTTGGCTGTTACATCCATTTGCTGGGTAGCTTATTAAGGCTTTTTGGCCATAAAATAAACTCCTCACAGTTTTTAATTCATGTTTTTTTTCTAAACTTTTCTTCCCAACTAATCTCTCATTTTCTTCAGCCTTAGGAAATTAGTCTGTTGAAATACTCTAGGCACGCACGTTCATGTTTCTGAAGCTTCCTTTGTTAAATGGTTTTGTGTTTACGTTTCTTCCCTTCATAAGCTAAAACCCTTATGTGTTTAAGTGGTAGGCATGTCTTAGGGAATAGTAATTTTAAACTTGACCATCATTTCTTTAATGATCTTTTGGTGTTCCTGTCCAGATACAACTCTGACCTGTTCTTTATCCTCAGAAAGTTGAGTTCTGTTGTGTATTATCATCGTTAGTGCCTGACACTAGTTTGAAAGGATGATCTGTATGCAGAAGTTTCCCCCACTTTTTTTTAAGTAATATTGACTGGGCAGTGCAGTGTTCTATTTTGTTGGGATTCCTAATCAGCTGCAGCTGCACAATTTTAGGTGCAGAGTTTGATGCAACTAATATGCATTGCGTCTGAGATTAGAGCAACTCAGTTTAACCTGTTGTTTACATCTGTCAGACATGACGACTTAAAACAAACCAACTGGCATTGTAGGAGCTCCGACTCATTACTGGTTAATCACTTACAAATTCACTGCTAGTTGATCCTCCGGTCAGCTTTCCCTTGTAATTCTATGTGCTTTTCTTCTGATTGATTTTTACTGAATATTACTTCAGAATCTGCTTGATGATGTAGAAGAATTTCATGAACGTGCTCAAGAAGCTATGATGGATGAGATCCCAGACTCTTCTAAGCTGCAGGAGTTGATAGACATGGGCTCTGGCCTCTATGTAGAACTTCCTGAACTGCCAAGGCTGAAACAAGAACTGCAGCAAGCACGTTGGCTGGATGAGGTGAGGTCCACACTCTTGGATCCCCAGAGGGTCACCTTAGATGTGATGAAGAAGCTGATTGACTCAGGTGTTGGCTTGGCACCACATCATGCTGTAGAGAAGGCCATGGCTGAGCTGCAGGAGCTGCTTACAGTGTCCGAGAGGTGGGAGGAGAAGGCCAAGGTCTGCCTGCAGGCCAGGTGAGTGTTCCTTGGCAAGCTGTTCCTACGTGTCACGTCACGCATTTAGGAATTTTTGAGGCGTGTGGTGAGAAGCAGGGGCTTTGAAATGTTAGTGTATTTCTTTGCCTCCCAGCAATTTGATGCTCTTGAATTGCCCAGGAGTGTGATTTGAGGTTGTTGATGAGTTGCAGAAGGGTTGATACCCTATTGTGTTGGACAGTGGCAGGAGGGTGTGAGTGTTGCCACTCTCTTTGCTGTTCTTTGAAACAAAAAACACAAACAGAAAACACTGAGTGTGCTACAAATGCCAGCTGCTTCTACGTGAAGGAGTTCTGATGCTGTGCTCTTTTGAACTTGGTAGCGCACAGGCCATCGACTTTCTCACCTCTGCTCTTGTCTGGTAGCCAGTAGCACCCTCCCAGAATAGAGCTGCACTACTCTACACTGCAGTGTAGTGATTGAGTTGTACCACCAGCCTGTCAGACTCATGGCTGTAGTTGACTGGTGTTCTGAGAAAAGGCTGGAATCAGATTTTTCTTACTCTAGACCACGCCAAAGCATGATGGCTCTGGAGGGCATCGTGAATGAAGCAAAGAACATCCCAGCTTACCTGCCCAATGTGCTGTCACTGAAGGAAGCCCTGCAGCGGGCCAGAGACTGGACAGCCAAAGTGGAGGCCATTCAGGTAGGGATTACAGCGGGGACTGGAATTTACTGCTTGCATCTCTTTAATTAGACATGCTTTCTCTTCCCAGCCACTCTGCCCACAAAGGTGACCAGAAAAGAAAGCTTGCAGTAACTATTAAATGTGCTTCCCTTAGGTGATGTGCTTGCATTGTTTCTTCTTGTTTCTTGTGCTTCTGTTTCCCCATTGGCTATCTAATTTCTGTATTTCCCTTCCTTTCGTGCATTTCATGAGGGATGTAAAGGCTGGCGGTCTTATTATGATGCCAACTCTAGAAAGACCTTATTTAATATTCAAGCTAGTTTTCAGTGACAGTATGTGGAACATATTTAGTTGTGATGGGAGATGTTCTGCTCGTAGATTTTTAGTTGTGCAGCTCGCTATGGAAATGTCGGGGGGGGTTCCTCCCCAACGCGGTGCAGATTTTTTTTAATTTTTTCCCCCCTCCCCAATGTGTATTAAATAAAGCTTTAAGATATGAGACCTAGTAGCACTGCTGGCTGAAGTTTTCTCTTTGAAATAGATGGAAGTTACGACATTATTAGTTCTGTAGTCCCTCTTCTGTTGCCCTATCTGGATGATTCAAGTGTCCAAAAAGGATATGGTTTCTGTGATACTCCTGGGTCTTGACTGCAACTATTATCCTTATATCAGGAATTTATTGGGAACTGAAGTGGGAATCCCAACTGATTTCACATCAGCCCCTGTACAACCCTCATTGTAAGTTGCTATTAATAAGATGAATTTAAACCAACCATTTGGAGATGAAGTGTTGTCTGATTCCCCGAGCCAGCTGGCCAGGTCAGAATGGCTATTAAAATAGAAACTGTATGAGATGGAGGACTAGCAATACCAGTAAGATTGAAACCCTCCCCTTCTTTTCATTCCTTTGGAACTCTATTTTAGTCTGTGAATAAACGGTATACAGCCTGAAATTAAACAGGCCGTTAGATATAATGGTAGAATCTTTGACTTAGAAAATTTTCTTTTACCCCAGAATGGTAGCAACTATGCCTACCTGGAGCAACTGGAGAGCTTGTCTGCAAAAGGCCGCCCAATACCAGTGCGTCTTGATGCCCTGCCACAGCTGGAGTCACAGGTAGCAGCGGCGCGTGCTTGGAGAGAGCGCACAGGAAGGACGTTCCTGAAGAAGAACTCAAGCTACAGTCTGTTACAGGTGAGCAGCAGACAGTTCCTTATCAGACTTCAGAAGTTGTTCTTCATGGTCCTCTGCAGTCTAGAGGGAACAGCTGTTTCAGTTACAATAGAGTGCAGCTGCTTTTGATAATATAATAAATATTTATTTATAATAAAAATTTCAGCCTTTCTCAGGTGAGAAGATGAATCAGGAATAAAGTCTGTATTTGACTAGTGTTGTTTTATATATGGACAATCTCAACCATTACTTTCGGAGAAAGAGATTAAAACTGTGCTTTTTGGAAGGAAGCTCAAAGGCTGTTTTTTTTTTTTTTTTTAATGTTGTGCAAGCTTAGAAATACAGGGCTGAAAGGCACACAGGCTGTCTTATTGATGGATGCTGAACTTGTTCCACTGCTTAATTTTCTTATATTTAAGAAATTCATGAAGTATCTAATTATTTTCTTAGAATTTAAGCTGGTTACTGTTTATTTCACTTCAAAGAATGTAGTCAATGTCTCTGTTAAAATAAAAATCTTTCATTTATTTGAAGATCAATCATATCTACTTGACAGGCTTCCCCTTTTCTAGGGAAAAAAATCCAGCTCTTTCAACTCTTTCTCAGAGGCCATATTTTTCAAACGCTTACCTTGTTGCTATTCTCTGCAGTCTGTGTTCCCTTTTAGTGTAATGTCCAAAACCAGATAGAGTCCTCCCGCTATGACTTCTGTAATGGTGTGTAAAGTGCAATAATTCCCTTTTGTGTTTCAAAGGGAATACTGCTGTTTAATGTTTCCAAATAAAATTTGCTCTTTTTGCAACCATATCACATTGGTTTCTGTTTGGTTCAAGGTGCAGTGTAAGTCCAAAATTTTCAGTTGTATATTTTTCTGCCTAACTAGTTATTTCACTATGTTCTGGTTTTGCATTTGACTTTGTTTTCCTCAGTGTATCAATTTTCACTTTTCTATATTGAATTTAAATTGCTAGATTTTGTGTTTCAGCATACCTTCCAACTAATCAAGATTACTTAAGATGTAGTCTTTGTCCTTCAAAGCACTTGCAGCCTGTCAAAGTTTGATGTTATAAGGTTTATAGGACATTTTTAGGTTTATTTTGTTTGAGCCATCAAATTGCAGAGGAAAATATCAAATCATGGCAGATCTTTGAGACCTGCAATTGATAAAAGCACCTAAAGTGGAAGAAAAATATTGATATCTTACTGTATATAGTTTTTTAGTCAGCTGTATGTATAATAACTTAATCTAAATTGCTTTTGTAGTTTAATTATGAAAATGCAGTGACCTTCAAATTGACCTGCCAAATCACTTTTGTGCTAGTTATTGTCTCTAATTCTGTATATATAAAATACTTGTATCCCTTTCTGTTCATTCCTTCTCTTCATAGCACAAATTGATAGGTACCAAAGATGTTAGATTACTGAATGTTTTCCCTTTGCTCTTGTATGACTGTTGTAGTGCATATATTAGATGTTCTTGTCTGTGTCCCTGAAATCATAACATAGGTTAGAACTTCCTTCTGTTGTTTCCATTGACTGGCATCCTTGTCTCTGACAGTATGAGTTCGCTTTGTGGTTACAGGTTCTGAGCCCTCGGACTGATATTGGTGTTTATGGAAGCAGTAAGAATAGACGGAAGAGAGCAAAGGAGTTGATGGAGAAGGAAAAGGAGAAGGATCTTGACTTGGAATGCCTAAGTGAACTGGAGGATGGGCTGGAGGAGGCCAGAGACACTGCAGCTGTGGTAAGGAGCAGTGAAAGGTAGTGTCTCCTGATCTGGGTTTAATAAATTTGCCTACTAATTTTTGTAGAAATCTTACAGGAAACTGACATGTGAATGTTGCTGAAGCAAATACCTCACAATAATATGCTTGGCACAAGAATACAATGCAACTTTAATTGCGCTTCCCTCTACCTTCACTGCAATTCAGAGTATAAGTGCTGGTATTTGATATATATCTAGCTATGTGAAAGACTTAAATGCTTTCTGGTTAATACATGCAGCCAGCCATTCATTTAATATCGTTAATATACTTAGAAAAACTGTTAAAATATCTAGAATGAGGTGCTGTTCTATCTTCATATCAAAGCATATTTTGCTAGGTGGTTGCAATATGCCATCCTGAATTAAATTCCGTTTCAAGCTGATTTGACAATTGTTCCGTTGATTGCTGCTTAAGAGTTGAAGTTGCTGGTTTATTGACATAAGTTAACAAACTTAAAATTGCTTTCTAAATTCTCTGACTACAGACAGTGGTTGCCTTACTGTATAAAGTATTTTTGCTCAGACATTGTCATTCTATCTTCTTGCATAAAAAATGTGTGAGGGTAGTCTTGAAGTGTTTGGTCATAGAAACTTGAGGGGGTTGCGGGGGGGGATGTTATATTTGAGTCCTCTCTGTTAGAGAGAGGTTTACACAGCTTTTCAGAAGAATTTACTGTTGTCTAGGTGCCCTTTCTTTGTTCCCATAGAAAATTATGCAAACTCAGTAATCTGTTTTATACACAGTCCATTTTACTTTAGTATGCTTAGTTATAGTTACTAGAATGGAGACACTGAGGAAATGTGAGTTGCTTCAAGAACAATATGTGAAGCTCCTGCTGCAAAGTCTGCTTTGAAACCATCCTCTATTGTATAGTGTTGGCAGATGGATGGTGGAACATGATTCTGACTTCTTTCCTTGGAATCAAAATCTCTCATTCTGGTGGCCTTATAACAGCTTTAATTACAAACTTAGATAACACTTGAGAAAGTTTCCAAATGTTTATGTAGTATCTATTTTAGAAGGACTTAGGGGAGGTAGCAGGGCACTAAGGAGGTATTTTAACTAAAATTTTAACTAGATTGCACAATTTCTGAACTTTGGGCTAGTTTAGGAAGATCTGGTGTGTGGGGGGTTTTTTTTTTCCTTTTCTTTTTTCTTTTCCTACATTGCTAATAAACTGTGATCTCTCTTAATTTTGAAGGTCATGAACTGTTTTTGTCTTTGCTGGATAGGTGGCTATATTCAAGGAGCGGGAACAGAAAGAGATTGAAGCCATGCATGCCCTCAGGGCAGCTAACCTGGCCAAGATGACTATGGTGGATCGTATTGAAGAAGTCAAATTCTGTATCTGCCGCAAAACAGCTAGTGGATTCATGCTACAGTGTGAGCTGTGCAAGGACTGGTTTCACAGTGGTTGCGTGCCCCTTCCCAAAACAAGTTCTCAAAAGAAAGGCTCTAGTTGGCAGGCCAAAGAAGTAAAGTTTCTGTGTCCCCTTTGCATGCGTTCTCGAAGGCCACGACTTGAGACGATACTGTCCCTACTAGTGTCCCTGCAGAAGCTGCCTGTACGGCTGCCAGAGGGGGAAGCGTTACAGTGCTTGACAGAACGTGCCATGAGTTGGCAGGACCGAGCACGGCAGGCTTTGGCCACTGATGAATTATCCTCTGCTTTGGCTAAGCTTTCTGTGCTGAGCCAGCGAATGGTGGAGCAGGCAGCACGGGAGAAAACGGAGAAAATAATCAGTGCAGAGCTGCAGAAAGCAGCAGCTAACCCAGACCTACAGGTAGGGATGTTAATATCTTGCTCTTTACCATGGTAGCCCTTGTTCAGTGTGTGTGGAAATGCCTTACCTTTCTGTGACAAGCTTGAAGGAAAGGGGAGAAAAGTTAGAGGTTGAGAATTAGACATATCAAAGTTATCTAGGTCAGTGCTTCTTGGTCTCCTTAGTCCATGGCTTACTTCAGGCTTTTATATACTTCTCCAGGCAGAGGTCTATTACTTTGCACTGACTGTCAAATGACGACTGTTCAAAGTGCTTTTGAGAAACATTGGTTCAAATATAGCAGCCGGCTAACATCCTGGAGACTTATGAAGCAGTGGCTGCTTTGGCGTCCAAATTCCATTTCCTTCTGGCAGAAATAGAGTGTCTTTATTTATAATTCCTCGTGGATTGTCATTCTCAAGGCATTTGGTGCCTTGTCAATAAATTTCAGCAAGGACTAAAGGCAATCACTGGTACTTTTACAGGTGACCTCCTCATCTTGAGATTGAGATCAGTAATTAGATGATGCTGTAATTAAGAAACATATGCAACCACAGGGTATACTTGATAGCATTGAACAATAGTGTCTAGGATGTTCTAGCAGCTACTGCTCAAAAACATGGTAATAAAATCAGAAAGAACCTTCTTCTCAGATATTTCCCAATTTTCAAGCAGAAACCTTTTCTTAGATATTTCCTAATTTTAATTCGCATCTTGCTGTTGAGCTTTTCTGTGATTATCTAGGCAGTTATCTAGTCAGACTAGGCCAAAAGAAGCATTGTTTTCTTTATCGATGACTCTTTAGGTTTTATATAGATTTGTCTAAAGGTTTTATTGTTTCATTCTTGTATTCAATTTTTCTTCTAGGGACACTTGACTAGTTTCCAGCAATCAGCCTTTAACAGAGTGATAGGGAGTGTGTCCTCATCCCCGCGACAGACCTTGGATTATGATGATGAAGAGACAGATTCTGATGAAGACATCAGGGAGACATATGGCTATGACATAAAGGTAAGCCATAATATGACTTGTTTGCATGGAGTTCATCTGGAACACCTGTGTGTGGTTTGTGGGTTTTTTTTTGTTTTGTTTTGTTGTTTTTTACACTAACTTAATTTATCCCAGTATATTTTTCATATCTTAAGGCTTATCTACATACATTCTGGCCTGGTTTCTGTTGGGAAAGAGGCATTTTTTTAGTTTTATCTAAACATCTTAGATCTGGTATATTGTAAAGTTTTGTAACATTTTTATTCAGAATTCCTGAATGTCTTGTGGTGGAGTTTCAAAAGTTGCTTTTTAGTGGAAAGTAAAAAGTTAGTTCTCTCAAGGGATTTGTAGCCGAGTCAATTATAGTTTATAATACCATGGAGGATGGACATCATCTTTGTGCCATTGTTAAACTTATAACAAATTATGAATATGAAAAAGTGTCTGTATGGGGAGCTCTTTATCAGTTTTTACTGCAATGAAGAATTAGTCTGTGAAGCTTCCTGATTCCAAAGCTCTTCCTGAGCTTTTACATTTTCATCCCTTTTTCAGCCCTCCTGTAAAGGAGGTACAACTGTTCAATTTCAGATGTATAAAATATTCAAGACTAAATCTCTGGATCATATAGTAAAATTAGTGTCTGGATTAAGTTCAGAAACTCTTAACTGCTCTTAGAGTTTTTTAAAAAATATTGTAGCTAGAGAAGAGCTGTCACGAGAAGAGGCAATTGTAGAGATAGCCAAGTGTGTTTTTGGTGTGATGTATTTCATTTTAGAACTTTTAAATGTCCCCTCAGTATACAGAGAGGGAAAAGCAAAGCCATGTTTTACTCTTTGTGTGGTGGTTTCTCTTTTAGTAATAGCGTCATCTCTCTCATAAGATAAATTAAAGCTAGGGAAATAAAATATTACAGATGTGAACTTAGAAGGCAAACGTAATCATGTAAATTGTCTTAAGGCAGATTTTCTGTTTTCTAAAGGGACTGCAAATCTTTCAAGGTAGGGTCTTCCTCAATCTCCTATTTTTAGTATTTTGTTTTCAAGCAGCTTTATATAATTGCATGCAACTGTTTTGCAGTCCCTTGTGAAATGCCAACAGGAGTGCATTGCAATTGGATGTTGATGTTGCAGTTTTTAATTAAATTAGTGTTGTTTTAAAAAAAAAAAAAAAAGAAAGAAAAATATTTCCAAACTGTTCTCTGCCTCAGGAGTCATAATGAGGCGTTTCTGAAAGATGTGGGATTCTCTGAGGCTGTGATAAAAGAAAGCATATGTCAAGAAAGATGGCATGTTCTTGTTGGGATTTGAGGGTTTTGCAGGAGTGTAACTTGCATTCTGTTTAATGCATTCTGTTATAATTTCAGGATCTGAAATTACCTAGAAGTAAAAATTCAGTGAAGCAAAGCTTGCAGGGGCCAGAAACATCTTTTGTTAGCCTGGCTAACATAGGTGACGAAAAAATAAATTTTCAGGTCTAAAATAGAAGCAGCAGACTTCAGTAAAAATGGAAAAGTTGCTCAGAGTTTAATTATCTTCCAGTTGGCTTTCATTTTTTTCCACTTTATGATGTGTATACATTTTCCATTAGAGTGATGAGTTTAAACAAACGTGTATATTAGTTACAATGTGTTGCCTATGAGCTTACTCTTAATAACTTTTGGTGGGGCCTGTAAAAGTAATCCTTGGATCTGAGAGTCACAGACTATGGATTAAAACCGTTGTCTCGGACATCTCAAGCACAACACCAGTAGCAAAAATAGGTGTAAAGAGGCCGATTTGATTATGTTGTGCTTCTTTTAATTAGCACGGTTCTCCTTGCCAACAGAATACTTCATTATGAGTACAATAGCTAGACTTGTTTTAAGACTTGCTCCAAAAATTTAGACAGATGTGCAGGTCAAATTTACTGTAGTTTTTATTGGCCTTTAATTTCATTCTTTTTTGTCTCATGTAGCTTTTACTCATTCCTTTGCACCTTTGTTGCTTATAACCACCAAATAGTGGTATCTTTTTTTCTAAATTCTCCTATTTGCCCCAAGCTTTCTTTAATTTGGTAGTATGGTATCCAGAACAAGATACCGTAGAAGATGAGACCTTCACTATGTAGGGAGAAAGACCTTTTCCTGAATATATTTGACTTTTTTTCCTGGCCAATTTAAATCTGAATTTCCTACTTTTCATTCTGCACTAAACTCATTATTGTGCACTTCAATTCTGTTTTAATATGTAACTGGAACCCAGAAGGAGATTACTATTCTTAAATCTCCTTTTTGTGTCATTAAATAGCATTGTTGGGGTGGTACTTTTTCACAACTTGACTGTTTTGGACCCATGAACCTAATATTTAGCTTCAACTAAATATTATCAGTCACTGCTCTACAGCCTTTCTCTTCTTCTAGCCCAGTGTTGTGTTGTGTTGTTTGTTTTTAACTGTTTTCTGAAAGACTCAAGTCTTACATGGCATACTAAGTATGTTTAACCTTTTGGTCAGTTTGACAAGGTATGTAAGTTTTGGAAAGTGCTGTGAAAACAGATGACTTGTTGAGGAAATTATGCTTATTGACCGCCCTTGTTGGGGTGAGGAAGGAGGAGGAAAAAAAGAGTGTTAGGCATCAGGGAATCAACTCAGATGGTGTTGTGCTTTCCCTGGATTCTCTGTCTAATATAATGCATGTTCAAAACAAAGCTGCTTCCACTGTTAAGGGATTCCTAGTCTCTCTTCTCCTCAAGGATCCACCTGCATCTAGGGCATGCATCATATCTCAGTCTTTGTAATGTATTTAAAAAGTCAAGAAGCCATCATATGCAATAGATTAAACACAAGCCAGTGCCTTCATTATTCTTTTCATGAAAATATTCACAACAGTCTTAGGTATTGCAGCCCTTTTCCTTTTGTTCTTTGGTCCTACCTTAAAATTGTTCAAAACGCTGATGTAAAAATTTTGATCTCAGGGCAACGTTTGTCTGTTTTGCTGTTACGTAGTCATCTGTTGATGCTGTGTTGCTGGGCTTGAAAAACACTTTTTTTTTTTTTTTTCCTCCTCTTTAGTCATTTCTCTCCGTGGTATCCGTACTGTGCATACCTCTCCGCTCTACTATAAGATGTCAGTCTTCATGGTCTCGTAGTCAAATTTTTCAAGCAGAACCTCTGTCGTTATGTGGATTTCTGAACACCGTACTTGAGGGACTTATCAGTGAGGAAACTTATGAAGTGTTTATCACACAGTGGCTATAAATCTATTAACCTCTCTCCATAATCGCTGCATTCTTTCATTATTTAAGTAGGGATGCGATTTGCACCTTCTGCAAATAGCCTTGATATCTATGGGGCTATGGTTCAGAGTTGGATTTTAGAAACAGTGATTTGTCAATTTTTAGCAGAATTTACTTTGAAGTTGGTATTTTCTGGGTCCAGAGGTTGTGTATTTTTTCGTCTTTTTCAGGACAATGCCAGTGTAAAGTCTTCTAGCAGCTTGGAGCCCAACTTGTTTTGTGATGAGGAAATCCCCATTAAATCAGAGGAAGTGGTGACACACATGTGGACTGCTCCCTCATTTTGTGCTGAACACGCATATTCTTCTGCATCTAAAAGCTGTTCTCAAGGTATTTACGTTTCTCTACTTTGAAATAGGATTGCATAGACAGCTGGTATGAGCAGTCAGTAAAGGGTACTACTTTGTTACCTCTGCTAGTTGTAGAGGTTATGTTCTCTGTAAGCGGGGATCACTGTGGTCGGTTTGCTTGAGAAGATTCAGTTGAGTCACATTGCAGTTCTATTTTCTTGCGGCTGATATACACACCAGTGTCAATGTTTTCTGCTTGGGATTATCTCCCTCCTTAGATTGTTATTGTAAGAAGTATGCCATTTCTTTTTATTTTTGTTCTTCTCTCCTTATGTGACTTGCATCCTGTCTGAAAGGTTCTAGCACCCCAAGGAAGCAGCCTCGGAAGAGCCCACTGGTACCTCGCAGTTTAGAGCCTCCTGTCTTGGAGTTGTCCCCTGGAGCAAAGGCTCAGCTGGAAGATCTAATGATGGTAGGAGATTTACTAGAGGTGTCACTGGATGAGACTCAGCACATCTGGCGCATTTTACAGGCTACTCACCCACCCTCTGAGGACAGGTTCCTTCATGTCATGGAGGTATGAACTTGAAATATTCTGATACAGAAATCAATGTTAACAAATTATTATGGTGGGGAGGTTTGGTGTAATCTTGCATAGCTGGGTGCTTGGTTCTTTGGCATGTTGGAGTTTCAGCCAAGGAATAACAGATTACAGGGAATAACAGATCCAAAAAATCAGTTCTGTTCTTATGCCTGTGTTTAGCTTGACCTGAAAGAATATGTAGTTTGCTGCTGTGAGAAGTTGCACCATTCTGTTAAGTTTGGAAATCTTGTGGAAGATTGCCTTGTAGTTCATTGCATGCTGCCACACTGAGTGCTTTATAGGGAACTCTTGATCGCTCATGCAGTATAGCACTGTCCTCCACAAACAGCAATATTTAGAGCAGTTTTTTCAGACAGGCAATTCCATATGTAAGCTTTGTTTCAGAAAAACTAGCGTTAGGGAGTGAAATGTTGGTCTTGACTGAGCTTGGAATTGGAACTGATCTGAAGAAGAATTACAAAAAATATTTAGGGGGATGGAAAGCTCCTGGCCTATATAGTTTGATATTTGCATTTTGCCAGACTTCTGTTATTACTGGGGAAATAACATGTTTTGTCTTGTAATAAAACATGGTTTGGGAATACAGATAGTAAGGATCCGGTTCTTCCTCAGTGCAGCATAGAGAGTACAAATTTTTTTAATATACTGTAAAGATGTGCGGATTTCTTCATTGAGCTGACGGTAAAGAATGAAGTAGGCTTATGTGCTGATTCTGAGGTCCAGTCCGAATCACTTATGCCTCATTCATGCAGTGGCTAACTGGTGTGGGCGAATGAGATGAGAGCCAGAAGAGTAGGTGAACTCTTGTGATGAAGAGCTGCACTGGAACCCATCCTTCTTCATCCGTCAACTAAAAATAGGGGTTACTTATACTCTATAACCATGCATGGACACATGATTTTTAAAAGAGCTAATGAACTGCACTGGAAATATATCAAAGATGATTCCTTCTTGGCTTTTTGGTAGCGTACAGTAACATAAGATAGCGATTACATGATTAATAGTGAAGTTAGACGAGCAGTTTGATCAGTGGTCTCATTTTCAAGGTGCCAGCTATATCCAACGGATTTCAGGGGTGTTGCCAAAGTGCCATCAGATAGGATGGTAGTATAAGAAAAAACACCCCCCCCCCCCCCCAAAATTACTGCATTACCGTGTTTTAGACCAAGTACATCACTTCATAAACTTAACACTCTTTTAGTATAATGATCGTGGCTTGGAATTGATTGAAAAAGAGCTTGAATGCCAGCAAATAGGCTTTAAAAATAGCTTGCTGCACTATTATATTAATAGTTAAGCACAGCTTTGGAGGGGAAAAAAATCATTTTTTGGTTAACCCTTATGAATGCTTACTTGGCCAAAACTACTCATTTTGAATTGAATACCCTTCTGTTTACATGTAAAATAGGTATACTTTTGTAAAATAACTTTCAGTGGATTTGTTTCTTAGGCTGAGCGGCTTTTTAAGGTAATGTACAGTAAATAAAATGAGCCTTTCCTTACTGGATTGCAGTATGTCCTTAATCTCTTTAATATTATTAAGGTTCATGTATATAGCTGGACTGACTGAAATTGGAACAATCCTGTTCTGTTCAAAGGAGCTGTACATATGAACCCTTCAGATATAAATAGGACCTGTCCCTGTAGATGGTCCCTGCAGTGAGAGAGTTTGCCAATTTTAAACCCCACTTCTGATTTGAATCTGCTATTTAAGAGTTCTTAATGACACTAGGATATCTGGAACGTTTGTCAGTTTGGGAGCTACTCGAGTAATGGATCTATTACTTTCTTCTCTTGCTTGAGTTCATTTTTAAGAATTCACTAGTTGCTCTTTCGTAATCTCCAAAATAGCAATTGCTTTTTCTGAAAAATAATTACAAGCAAGACTGACCTAAGATGAGAAATAAGCAAGAACATCTAACAAATGACTAATCTTCTTAACTTTTAATAAAAAGGAATGTGAGAAGGGAGTTGTGGTCACAGCTTATTCTGCCTCCTTACTCTTGCTGCTCTTTACTTTTTTCTGCTACGCATTTTTGATTCAGCAAACTTCTGCATAGTCACTTTTGATTTTTTTTTCCTAGTATGGTGGTGATAAAGTCAAGCCCCTCTTAATTTAGAATTCATAAGTGTGTTCTTGGATAAGTTTCTTCATACCTTTCTGGGGGAATGGTAGCAGTAAGTACCTCCCTCAAAACTGCAGGTTTACAGTATATGGAAATTTGTATTTGGAAAACAAAACAAAACTTTTTTTCACCCTTTCTATGAAGGATGACAGCATGGATGAAAAACCACTGAAAATGAGAGGGAGAGACTCTTCTGAGAGGAAACGGAAACGAAAGCTGGAGAGAGCGGAGCAGTTCTTTGGTGATATGAAGCAAAAATCTAAAGAGCTGAAGAAACTGGAAAAACCCAAGAAGAAGAAGCTAAAACTGACCATGGATAAGACAAAGGAGCTGAACAAGTTGGCAAAGAAACTGGCTAAGGAAGAGGAGCGGAAGAAGAAGCGAGAAAAGGCAGTTGTGGCAAAGGTGGAACTAGCAAAGGAGAGCACAGAGAAAAAAAGAGAGAAGAAGGTGCTAGATATCCCTTCCAAGTATGACTGGTCAGGGGCTGAGGAGTCCGATGACGAGAACGCTGTATGTGCTGCGCAGAACTGCCAAAGGCCCTGCAAGGACAAAGTGAGTTTTCGTTTGGTTCTATCATAAGCAATGTCATGAGAAATCAAAAGCTCCAATAAAATTTAATAATTGGGTTAAACAACGTGTGCGACAAAGTGGTGTGGATTTTGGGGTGAGAGAAGAATGTAAGTAGTAGTTGTGTAAGTATGCAGATACCATAAATAATAAAGAGTGGACTATAAAATTCGCATATTATCTTAGCTATTTTGGGCTATGAGAAGAAGAAGGAGCATTACAATCTGTGAAAAATTACTCTCTCTTGATTGGGAAGTCTAGCCTCTTCAAGCTGTGGTCTTCCTCAATGTTTTGCTGGCTATGTGGAATATGAGTTGTTGGACTCAAAGAATTCTGTGCTTCAGCAAGAATTGGTCCCGACTCCAGTGTGTTTCTAAGCCGAAATGGGATGTTCAGTACTCCTAAATGAAGTAAATCTTCCATATTTCTTGGATGAAGTCTGTGAACTATGATGCTGCATGCATCATAAGGATCTGCAAACTGCAGATCCTTACTTTTTTTGGAGATATATAATCAATGTTTTAGAGCTGATTGAATTCTTGGAAAAGAAACTTTATTTGTTTCTCTGTGGCACTGCCTGTTGTGATTGTCACCTTCTAATATGGATTAACTGATGGTCAGGATCAAACTTACAACTTTTAGGTTTTTCACATTTTTTGTTTTTTTTTTTTCCTAGTTAAAAAAAAAAATCCAGTAATAACTGTAGGACTGGTACTGTGCTGCACTGGCTTGTGCAAGAGAGAGTAGGAGCAAATGTAAACACCAAAGACTTTTTCTGCACCAATTGGAACATGGAGTTAAAGTATTTAGATAAGCATTAAAAGATGAGTTTTGAATTCTTAGACCCATGTTAGAAAATATACTGGAAGATAAATCCCTTGTAAGGTGATACAGTCTCTGTACCACCATTCTCTCTACAGATGGTAGTTGGGTGATGTTACTACATTTTTACAGGGATTGAAATAAAAGATGGAGAAGACTACCTTTAAATCTGTATTTTGAAGAAGGTCGTACTAAATTTGTCAGGCTTTCATAAAGGAGCCCGAGTATAGTTCTTAATCATTTAATCAAAGCTTTTATTGGAATGACTGTCTTTCCATAAGATTGGGCATGTTTTTGCATGAGTAGAAAACAACAGACATGGTAATGTAACGACTGAAGCTGCAGTTATTGGTGTCCATTACTAGTCACATATATTTTAAATTTTTCAGGAATAATTTGCTACAAGTCAAAAGTCTTGAGCTGATTGTGTTGCTTTACTTTAGATATGTTGCTACTTAAGTTATTTTTCTAATATTTTTTCAGTTTCGTGTTGTCCTGTAAGGCAAAAGCAGAACTACAGCAGTAACAATTTTGATAGCTGTACTAGTCCATGCCACTTAAATTAAAAATGTGTGTTCATTATCCTGCAGATTTCAATTTCTGCCCACTCAATCAAATTAACATGTACTTTTACTCAGAGAATTATATAAATCTAGTGGTTCATTTTATTTTTCCCCCCTTTTCAAGTTTTAATTTACTACTTAGATCTTTCTCTACTTGTTCTACAGCAAATTTGTTTGAACTATTTTAGCTTAAATGTTCTGAGACTTTGAAGTTATAGTTTGTGTGCGTTTTTGGCATTCAGTGGCTAGCTATATAATGATAGATACAGTGATATCTATCTTTCAGTATGTAGCTGGTCAAAAGGTAGTAAAGCTGCTGAGGTCATGTGGCTGTTTTGTAGCCAGAAGCAGTAATCAAGCCCCTATGTTTTCTGTAATTTTAAAATTGCAAAAGCCACCCCTTGTATATCCCCTTAGATTGCGTAGTCAAGTCAGGTTGTGAATTTGTAGTGCTTCAGCTACGCTGAGGTAGCTGCCCTTGAACGTGCTCTTACTCTGTTTTAAGTGTGAGGTAGCTACCTGTCTTTTATTTGAGGAGAGTTGAATGCCATCTTCCTTGTTAGTAGTAGTGTTTGTTGTAGCTGTGGTGATCTAAAGATCTGAGTGGGGCGAGGTTTGCTGGAAGAATGTTACTGTTTTTATTAAACTTAAGTAGCAGGTTGAAACAGAAGCTCTAGGGGACATAATTTGTGCCTAAAAGCTTTTGTGTTCTAGGTATGTCATGTGGGTTTAATAGAAGATATTCTCTTTATAGAAACTGTGCTTATGTCTTTCCTTTAATGTGCTAAGTGTTGCTAATCTTATCTCCTGCAGGTAGACTGGGTGCAGTGTGATGGTGGCTGCGATGAGTGGTTTCATCAAGTTTGTGTTGGTGTCTCTCCGGAAATGGCTGAGAATGAGGATTACATCTGTGTAAACTGTGCAAAGAAACCTATGCAGGGACCAAGTAGCCCTGCTCATGCACCACCTCCCCCTTTCTTACTGAGCTACAAACTACCAATGGAAGACCTTAAGGAGACAAGTTAGCAGCTACTCCATGTCTGGAACTTGTTGGGAAATGGACCACTGAAACCCTACAGAAAGAGAGGGTTTGAAGCTAATGTAGCCACTGAGCTTCACTTCCAAGGATGTACAGACCTGCAGCAGAGTTGGTCCCTTCCTTACAGCTGGCTTCCTTCATACAATGGGAGTGTCAAGGCACAGTGGTACTGACTCATCTATGCAGACACCGCCTCATTGGGAGTTCCAGCCAATGTTCTGACTTGAGTATTTCCATCTGTGAGTGTGGCTGTCGCTCCCAGAGACTGAGCGAACCCGAGGCTGTTAGATTAGACACTTCAGGGTGTTAGAAGTACATGTTGGCAGTGGAGTTGGCCTGGAATTCATGGGTGTAGATTGGAGCTTCTAGCACTAGCAGGTTACCCTAAGGAGGTGACTTTGGAAGTTATCTTTTGCCTCCCCATGCCAACCCAGCAAGCAGGGCAATGTCCTGGGAGAATTAAGTTGCCTCCATATCCAGGTAGCTAACACTACATGATAAGGATGGGAGCAAGTGGATGAATTTCTTTTAATTTCTCTTTTGTAGCTAAAGGGCAGAGGAGCTCATGATCTCAGAAATCAGCAAAGGTTCTGTTTACCAAAAAAAAAAAAAAAAAAAAGGAAACCCAACCGTACTCCACTAGGCAAAAATTCTTCCTTGGTGGGGGACAGCTGATCTTCCTGTCCTGAAGAGGGCAAGAAAATATTGATGAAGATGTCTAGCTAGACCAGAGCTTGGGAAAAGCAGAGTGCTTTCCTTTCTTAAGGGATGCCCTCTCCTGTTCTGGGCTTTGCTCAGAGTTCTGCACTCCTGCACGTTAAAGTTGTCTCACGCAGGATGGAGCTGGCAAGGAGGTGCAGCACCCGGGGCACCAGCTTCTGTGATCTGTACCCAGGGATGGGAAGGAAAGAAGACGGCCCACTTACCTCAGAGGTTACACTGACATGTGCTTCTGTGAAAAGTTTCAGTCACAACTCTTTCCAGTATCACCAGGCTACAGGCATGGCCTCAAGCGATACCAGCAAGCAGTCTGCAGATTCTGTTAGCAGCGCAGATCCCCTCCCTGCTGGCTTTGCTGGATGTGTACCAGTGTACAATCAGCAACAGTTCTGGTTTGAAGTTGTCTCTGGCTTTGCTAGAGGACCAGAGGGCTTGGGGTCATCCTGGGTGACAGTTGTTTTAGTAAATCCATTTTTAAAGAAGGACTTGTTTTTACTTTTTTCTAAATGTCTCAGACTACTGACTTGTTCTATAAATAGATTATTTTTCTTTGATTTTTTTATACTTACCACTGTTAACCAGCAGCACAGACAGAGGTTCACAAAGCAAAAACCTGCCCGTGGGCTTGGGTTTTTTACTCCATTCCTTCCTTGTAGTACAAGGAATTAGCAGTTACCTTCCCCATTCTAGCCTGACCAGCTGCCTGTGTTTAAATAGGTAAATACATTTCATGTGCTACCTTTGTATTTGGGTTTGTTCTTGTTAGTGGGGCATCTGGGCCTTAATGACTCCAGTCTATGCTGGCTTTTTGTATGTGAATGTCTGAAGCCAGCCACTGGGCTGTCTTGTCCCCTCTCCACTCGCTCCCTATTGTGTTTCCATTCTTCTGCAGTTCTAGGAGTGTTGTAAGTAGTGTCCAGACTTACTAGGAGCTGGATTGGGATTTGAAAAAAAAATTGACAAAAACAAAAGTGTTCTGTCTTGAGTGTTCTGTGTCCCTTTTCTTGTTCTCTAGTTTTTGGAATTTTATTTATCTGGCAGAATTATCCGTCCAAAAAAATTGAGCTCAGGTAGATTAACTTTACCAGGTGGTTTTATTTGTGCCTGCTACCTGGGAAGAGGAAGATGTGAAAAAGAGCTAAGATGGAGGGCAGAAGATACAGGGTCCTGGGAGTTTTTGAGTGCAAATTGGGCTCTGACCCTTAATTCCTGCTCTGTACTAATACTACATTAAAAGCAAAAGCAGACTGTGGTTAGGCATGTGGCTGAACGGGCACCCTAGCAAACTTAGAGTATTATTTGTTTACTTATTTATGAAGGAGTCTATCCTATAGTTAGACATACCTTCTTTTTGCTTCCAGTTACTTTTTTTTTTTCTTCTCAATGTACTTTTAGTTTTGGTAAACTGGTTTAAACAGATGTTATTTTCCTTCAAACCGATGGTACTACATAAATATTGCCCTGTATGGAATGGATAGACTATCTGTCACAGATGTTTAATAGTTCCAGAAGTAGACTAGTTTTAAGATTTCTTAAAGAATCCCAGTGTTCTGTATTCTTTCATGACTCCTAGAATCCATGACGTAATATGGAAAATATGGTTAGCATATCCTGTTAACCATTAAGCATATCCTCTTAACCATTCTTACATACTTTGTCTTGATAAAGTCATTGTTATATGTAATTGCACCATCAACTGGAAAGAGATCTTTTAGTAAATCTGCATGAATGTTCCTGTTTTTCTGAGTTGAAGATGTGGAGAATGTTACCAGTAGCGCTAGTCATGATGAGAAGGAAACAAAGAGCTATAGGATGCAATTTTCAATCATTTTGCTTGTAGCAGGCATAGAAAATGGTAAACAACAGAAAGAAATGTGCAAATAATGGAATTCGACACCGTTTTAGTAGTCTATTTCATGTTTTCACATTGAAAGGCTCTATTACACTCTCAGAAGTAGGTTACCCCATCTTTTCTACTTACAGATGTCCCATCTGCTTTCAGGTAAGGCGTTCATAAGCTGAAAACCATTATTAGCTTTACATCTTATTGTTTAAACATTTACTTTTAAGAGCATAATTCCTCTCAAAAGATGGCTGGCAGTATAAACACATGAATAAATGTTAACCTTTGAAAAAAACTGTAGAAATGTAGTTAGTGGTTTAAAAACCTAAAGTTATAGCTGCAGTATTGTCTCCAGATCTTAAGTTTTTGAAATTTCATAAGAACAAATGAAAACAAGCAAACCAAAGTTAAGCTAAGGAATCATTTTCTTAAATTTCTACCAGAGCTGCAGAAAAGAATCTCTGCTTTGAATGCAACATTTCAGTATATACAAAAATCTACTACGTGCTACAAAGGGTACTAACCACTGTCCACGTTATTCGTCTTCATGTGTCTGACGCGAAAGGTCAGACAAATGACCTGAGCTGTTTTGAGGAGCAAAAAATGGCCAAGACTTGGGTTACATATCTTATTCAAACCATGTGGTTTTTAGAGTTTTTAAGAACCAATGTCTGAAATTAGGCAGCATTATCTGCATACAGATAAATGAGATAAACTTTACTCCTGCACTTTAGTACTGTTACCTTTAGGATTTATGATTCTTACAGAGCAGATGTATCTGAATGCTTATGAAACGTGGACTGTTTGATTGTGAGAGCCTGAGGATACAGTCACAGAGTAAAAGTTAACAGAAGCAGACGAGTGCTTCATCAGCCACACTGCAGCTTGCATAGATGTTTTCAGTATTTGGTATCATAGAATAATATAGAT